TGCTGGGCTCCATATTCACACCAGCCGTGGATGCCCAGTGGCTCTGTCTCTGGTTTCTGCCTGGACTGGGATGCTGCACCAGGTTCCCTTCCCTGCTGGAGGGGGCCGTGGTCCCTCTGCTCCCCAGCAGAGGCCAAGTGTAGCAGCACTTTTAGCAACCTCCATGAGCCTTCTCTGTTTTCCTCCTGCCTGAACACAGAGCCTGTATAACAGCAGCAACAGATGTTTCTCCCTAACTTCTCTTTGGTTTTGTGCTTCTCTTGCAGCATCTCCTCCCAGTACTCCTCCGCCATATCCCCACACTCCGGCAGAGATGGTAAGAACCTGCCATCTCCTGAAGAATGTGCAATATCTGATAAAGTGTTAAGAAATTCTCTCCCTCCTGCCATGAATAACTGTCCCCCCTTTCCCCCTGCAGTGGTGACATCGTCCCGCCAGGTCCGCACGATCGTCGAGGAGGTTCAGGATGGGAAGGTGGTCTCCTCCCGGGAGCAGGTCGCACTCACCACTCGCTAGGAGGGCCAGTAGGACCCTCGACCCCAGGCTCAGGAGAGCAGTGAGCTGAGCCAAGCACTGCCTGAGGCCCTGGGTTGTGTCCCAGAAAGCTTCCTCCACCTCCTCCTCCTGCCTGTATTACCCTCATTCCATGCAGGTGCCTCTGGACACACTTAATAAAGCTTTTTCTCCTCGCTAGTGCAACTGCAGACTTGTCTATCACTGACACAAGATCCCTCAAAGCCTCAGGGTTGTGTGTTCATGCCAGGGAAAGTCCTAAGAAACCACAAGAAGAAGCCAGTGAGAGGAGGGGAAGGGCAAGAGATGGGTTTCACCTGGAGGGACGTGGGTTCCACCTGGAGCAAAGATAATTGGAGACAGCTTTTTCTAATGAACTCATTGCTTGTAAAGACATGGTTGAGACATAAACCAGATTAGTGACAGAAATTAAAGGCAATTATGGACAGATGAGGTCTGAGGTCAATGTGCCACGCGACTGATAATTAAAACCAACAAAATAAAGCTCAGTTCACTTGGGATCATAAAAAATCTCTTTCTCCTGTAAACTGAACTTGAATGACTTTGGCAAGACTGCTGCTGCCAGATGTTCCATCTGAGACACGAGCCCAGTGTCGGGCTGGTTGGCAAACCTCATCCCCACTTGCCTGCTACCTTTTTTGACTGTCTTTAAATCACACTATTGGGCAGGGAAACCTTATACAGAGCTTTTTATGCTGCCCCAGGGCTGCACTTAACAGGATCTAAAGTAACCATTGCTTAATCCGCACGGGGATGAGTAGCAATAATTTTTATCACTATCACGTCTAGTAGATCACTGCTAAAATCCTTCCTGAAACACAGGAGGCAGAAGCAGCGCCTGAGGCCAAGCTGCCACTCAGGATTAGTGACACAGTTGGGCAGCAGACACCGGGTGTGCCCATGCCCACTTGCTTCCTGGAGAGTCAAAAGCCTGATGGAATCACTCAGATCCAGCTTCACTCCAGCCAGTGGAACCTGGGAGCCCTGTCCAGTCTCAGACCACGGGCTCATGTTAATCCCCCACCTCAAGGATCCAGATTTGGAGCTCAGACCAAAGGGAAAGGGACCAGTCTGCAGTAAATCAGCTTCCACAACGCACAAGGAGCTCCTGTGGCTGAGGCTCAGCTCACTCATCCCTTGGGTGATGAGTGGTGATTCATTGTCCCTCAGCCTCCCCACAGCACTGAGGTCCCACTGAGCACTCACCACGCACTCCCCTGCCCCAGCAGGTTGGGAAAGAGCTGGTGATGTCACACTGGGCATGACAGGACAGGCAGAGGAGATCGAAGAAGTGGGGAGCCTGCCAGGTCTTTCCAGAAAAAGGGAGCGTGAGATGTTATCGTTCTGTATCATCCTTCAGCAATTACAGAGAGGGCAGGAAACGAGCGGAGCGCAGAGTTCATGGACTGTGTCATGCTTCTCCCTCTCTGGAATAACAGACCTTCCTTGGAGAAACAGGAAGTCTCCCAGGCCGACTGAGCCAGAGCTATGTCAAAAATTAGAAACAAATCAAGCAAAATGTACCTGAGCCTCCAGCTGTGTCAGGGTCTGTGGCAGTGGGCAAGGCTGCAGGCGGAAATCCTGAGAACAACTGCTAATGTGCTGTGCTTATTTTCCATCAGAACAGAGTTATTTCAGTTTTAAATGGCAGCTTTTTAACTCTTGAGCCATCTGCAGACTGCCACAAGTGTATGAATACAGAAAGGCTTTCTGCAAACCACAAATCTAACTGATGAAATACAAGTAGGAGGCTAAAGGAAGATGTCAGTCCAGGAGTACCTGCCTCCACGGGCAGCACAGGGAGGGATGGCTCCTTCTGCAGCCAAGAGGGCACAAGGGAGAGATTGATCCAGCAGCACATTTGGTTATCTCTGACTGTCACCCTGTGCTGAGATATTTACATCTATCAGCAGGAACTGCCTGAGGTGAAATCCTGAGGAGAGCTGGGGGAACAGCTGGGAGAGCTGATGGAGAGCCCAGATTTGTAATCAGTGGATTCAGTTCTCCCGGGGTTTTCCTTATTCATCAACATATATTTGCATCAATGAAAAAGGCCTTAATTCTGCATACAGCTCAGTGTAACACTGTTATCACAGGCGAGAGCGAAGTCCAAGCTCAGTACAAGTGATCCCTGTAGTGCTCCAAAGAAGGAAAATACCACAGAACTATTGGGCAATTTATTGCCTGTCACTACTCTTTGATACACACAGTTTGTGTCCGTGAAACATGGACAAATTGTGACTCCAAGAGAAGGACAAATACTGGGTTTGGAGAGCATTGCTCAGATTTTCTGGAAGCTCCAAGCACAAGAAGAAAAGCCTCATTAGGATTCAGCCAGGAGTTACAGAAGCAAGTCCTCAGCAAATGATGGTGAAACTTGAATGGACAACAAAATGAAAAAAAGGGAAAATCAAGAATGTCCTTGAAAGGTATTTCATGACTGAGACACAGAGAGAAATCTATGCGATGTGCCTGTGTCGAACTTAATATAAAACAGCAAGAACACTGACAATAAATAATACTTAACACAAGAATTGTCTTTCCAATTTTTGAAGCCCCTTGTGCTTCTCAGAGAGTTATTTTTATAATGCCCTCGAGGAGGGGGATGACTGTTATTATGGTTTCCATTCTACAAAGCATGAAATTGAGACTGGGAGGAGCTGAGTGAATTGCCTGGAGTGACTTGCAAAGCCGGGATCAGACCCCGGAGCACCCCAGTGTCCTCAGAGGGGTGGAGGTACAGCCAATGGCAGCTGGCAGAAAGTGGTGTGACAGGTACATCACCAGCCAGATAAGCAAATACTTTGTAAATACTTTGTATGGATTTTCCATAGCGACACACGGAAATTCAGCTGACAGTGGGCAGAGAGCTCTCCCTGCCCGGGCTGGAGCCGTGAGAGACGCCCCAGCTGGCGGGGGCTGGGCTGGGCAGTTCCTGGCTCCAGCTCTGCTCCTGGCATTCCCTGTGTCTGTGCACCAGCAGGGACTCGGGCTTTGGTGCTGTGTCTGAGTCAATGAGTCCCCAGGGAAGCTCTCTTGAACATGAAAACAGCTGGTGACTCAGGGATTGTTTGTAATAACGTGAAATGCTGGATCTCCTTCTTAGGGGCACATTATATTTTATCTGCATTAGCTTAAGAAACAGTCTGAAACCTTAAAATATCCAAAGGATTTCCCTCCAGGGAAATCTAATCTTTCTCATTTCCATTGCCCTGTTGAATCTGGTAATTCTGTGCCGTGGAGCACCCTTGGGAATAACGCCAGCGTACCCATCCCCTGCCCCCGTCACACAGCCCAGGACGCCGACAGAGAGCTGAACTATAATCCCTTTTCTCTCTATTTTTCACAAAGCTCATTACGTGGGAGCAGCACCTTCGCCCGGGGGAGGCTCTTCTGCTCATTTGTCACTTGAAGCAGTCATTTTTCCTGGTCAGGCCAGTGCTGCTGCTCCTGAAGTGCCCGTGGCAGCTCCTCGTGCCCGGCTCCTTCCTCTGCCTCCCCTGGGGCACAGTGGTGCCTGTGAGGGGCTCCCAAGTCAGCCGAGGACGAGGACGGTGCATCAGAGCATCGCCCCGGGCTGGCTCCGAGGCTGTGGGCAGAAAATTTCCATCTGCAGACTCCAGTCGGGAAGTCAATGAAAGTTAATTCTGGAAGGAGGCTTCCATTAGGCATGGAGATGCCGTCATTAGCAGGTCTCGTCACAAAGTGAAAATCTCTTTAATGATATGGGGGCTGTGACTGCTGGCAGGGCCTGAGGTGTGCTCTGGTGTAAACCCAAGAGCTGGTTTTAATAAAAATTTTGAATTTTGGAGAGGAAAAAAAGCTGCTGTGAAGGACACACAAATCAAGAGTGAAGTCACTATTCTCCTTTACAAAAGCTGTAGAAATTCTAATCACCTTTGGCAAGGTCTGAAGTTCCAAAAGTAAGGAAGAAACGTAAGTAAGAATCTCTGCTTAGTTTCCAGTAATTGAAAAAACCCCAAAACTTTCCACGCATTATGTGTTTTTTTCTCCTCATTTAAAAAAATCATAAAATCATGTAATCACAGGATGGTTTGGGTGGGGAGGGACCTTAAAGCTCATCTCATTCGACTCCCTGCCACGGGCAGGGACACCCTCTACTAGACCAGGTTGCTACAAGCCCTGTCCAACCTGGCCTTGAAAAATGAAGGACCATATAATTATCGATTAAATGGAATTAAATGTTTGCTGAGCTCTAGTTTTATAATTCTTGGATGGAAAACAGTCCGATTGTGGCCGGGCTGCAGCTGATCCTGACTCCAGCTCCAGGCAGGGCCTGGCCATCCCTGTGTGTGTCAGGGCACCCTGGCACCGGCTTCGCTTCCTAATGACAGCACTAACGAAGGATGGGCACCCACAGAACCACCCCACAGTGCAGGAGCGCTGGGTTTGCAGTGGCAAGATAAAATCGAGCCTAATGAACTCACCCAAATGGCAGAAGCAATATTTGTGAGCCAGGCTGCAGCTAACACATCCTTTATGCCACGTGTCCAGGTGACCTGGATGCCAAACCCACAGCTGAACCACACGTGGGTGAGAGCCAGCCAATATTAGCATGGCTTTATTAATGTTATTAATAAAATGAAAGATTCAGATGACAAAACATTTTAATTATTTCCCTTCTTCCTCCATTCATCATTCCAGGACTAAAAAATAGGTTTAATATATATTTTTTAAAAGTCTTTTTTGTCTTTTCTAAATGTAACACCTAGATTGTATTTGGAGTGCTTCCACAGGGCTGGTGGGAACTGGGTGAGACCTCTACAGAGTCAGGCATCTGCTGAAATTCTCCATGTTACTGTTTCAGAAATCTTATCCTGTGTGGTGGTGAATATTCACAGTGAACTGCAATGTTTGGTGTTCAGGAAACATCCTCTTCTCTTATATTTTGGATAAATATTTGACTATTTTGTCTACCCTCTAAAGCAGCAAAGCAAACACACCCTGGGATCTCCCTCTGCAAGGGGATGTTTTGATGGAGGCAGGAGAAAGAGAAGGGGTAAATCATGCCTGGTACATTCCAGTGCAATATTCCTCTGTGTTCTCCAAGAGCATTTCGAGGGAGGCCCTCAACCCAGGGCCACGTGGGATGGGACAGATCCTCGCTGCACGGTCCAGGGTGGTCTCCTGGCCCTGGTCCCAGGGACTGAGGGCAGCTGAGTGAGGGGACCCCCTCGCTCCTGGTGACAAAGGGGTCGAGCAGGCTCGGTCAGATAGGATACCTTTCCCACAGCTTTCACTTTCCGGGTGGACTCGCCCACGCCGGAGGTGGATAATTGCCGTGGTGTTTCACTCCCCGGGCACTCTCGGGTATCGTCGGGTTTTTGTGTCACTGTTGTTGAGCTGTCATCACAAGTCAGACCTGATGATTCAGGAAGTAACATTTTTGATGTAGTTTTGAAACACGCTTCTGTTAACCAAAGCATCTTTCTGTTGTGGGATTTCTGGAGACAAACGCCTTTGGGGAATTATTTCCGGCTGAAAAAAAACACCTCCCAGCCAGGTCACAAAGGAGGAAGAATAAACAGCCCTTCTCCAGTGGCACGATCCACGGGGACTGGTATAAATAGAGGACCAGGGGACAGAGGGATCACAGTTGGATCCTGCAGCGAGCTGAGCACTTGCCCCGGGCTCCGTCGGCTGCACCATGAGCTGTGCTGTCAGGCAGGTCGTCACCACCTGTGCCCAGGGCAGGGGCAGCACGGGCAGCAACGCGGCCGGCACGGGGAGGAGGGTCTCCTCCGCCTCCTCGGGGAGACACGCTGCCTACGACCTGGGTGCTGTGGGGGGCAGCTTTTCCGGCGGCAGTTTGAGCGAGGGATTTCTCGGGAAGCAGCTGAGCGCCGGCAGCGCGGCCGGCGGGAGCTTCGGAGCCACCCAGAGGGCTTGTTCTGCCCTGGGCTTCAGCGGTGGAGGCATCTGCACTCGAGGGGGTGGGGGCTTCCCCAGGGCCGGCGCTGGCTGCGGGGATGGGATCCTGTTCGCCAACAACGAGAAGGCCACGATGCAGAACCTCAACGACCGCCTGGCCTCGTACCTGGACAAGGTGCGGCTCCTGGAGGGGGACAACGCCGACCTGGAGTGCAAGATCAGGGAGTGGTACGCCAAGGTGGGGCCCAGCTGCGAGCCACGGGACTACAGCTGCTACCACAAGGAAATTGAAGACCTTCAGAACCAGGTAAATCCTTGTTCGTCAAAAAAGTTTAATGTTTCCTTGGGCTTTGCTTCCCCAAGTGCAAAGAGCCCTGTCAGAGGGCAGAGGCAATGGCTCTGGAGGGGCAGGTGCAGTGATGGTTTATATGGAATGATGGTCTGAGGGGGGGGAATTCTGCATTTACCGAGAACTGACACTTCAGCACAGCCAGCTCCACCCAACTGGCACGAGGGTTTCCCTGCTGTGATCCCACCTAACTGATCAATAATCCCAGTAGATGGAATCACTATAAGATACCCCGGGTAGGTGTTTCCTCCAGGGTCTTCTGGAGCCAGAGGAAGCTGCAAGCCCTAATCCCTTTCCTACATTTGCTTTTCCAGATCCTGTGTGCAGCCATGGAGACTAACAAAATCCTTCTGAACATCGATAACAACAGGATGACTGCTGATGACTTCAGAGTGAAGTGAGTACAGACCCGTGCTGGGGAAGGGCAGGTGAGGGGCGGTGACGGGGAAATCCCAACCCTCTGCCTGTCACGCTGCACGGTCAAAAGCAGATTTTTTCCCCCAAACTCAAGTGAAAGGCTTGCCCTGCCCTGCTGCCCTGCTGACCCCCCTTTGCTGCCCGTGGTTTAAGGTACGAGACCGAGTGTGGTCTCCGGCAGAACGTGGATGCCGACATCTGCAACCTGCGGCCCGTCCTGGACCAGCTGGCCAGCTGCAAGACCGACCTGCAGCTGCAGTGCGAGGCTCTCACGGAGGAGATGTGCTGCCTCAAGACCAACCACGAGGAGGTCGGATCACCCCTCACCCAGGGAATACAGAAGGAAAGCTCCCCCTGGGGTTGATATCACTGATACGGTGCTCGTATTCCCTGCAGGAAATGAGCTGCCTGAGGAAACAGGCGACCGGGGATGTGAGCGTGGAGGTCAATGCCTGCCCTGGCCCAGACCTGAGGAAGATCCTGGAGGATCTGCGGTGCCAGTACGAGACGCTGATGGAGCGCAACCGGAAGGAGACGGAGCAGTGGTATGCCTGCAAGGTACCACACCCACCAGAGCTGGGCCCGGCACTGCCCCCTGGGACAGCAAAAGTGAGGGATTAGATGTCCTAAGACCAGCAGCTGGGTCACAGGAGTGCTCAGATCTAACTGTCCTGCCCGATTTCTGTGCTCTGTCTGTGGCAGAGGGGCCACCACATGGTGTCACAGGGCCACAAGAGAGTAAATGGGGAGGGGGGGGGGAGCCTGGTCAGGGCACTGCGGGGTGTGAGATGATGTGGGGACGTGAGGAAAGGGCTGCTCTTTTCTGACCTTGCAGATGGAGGAGGTGAATCTGGAGGTTGTCACAAGCAGCCAGGAGATCGAGTCAAGCAACAAGCAGGTCACTGAGCTGAGGCGGCAGCTGCAGGCCCTGGAAATCAACGTGCAAGCCCAGCTCACCATGGTAGGGGATGCCACACGACTCACACCTGCAGCTCCCGTGACCAGGGTGGTGCCCGCAGCAAACCCAGGTACCTGTGTGCTTGTTCCATTCTCAGAAAGAAAACCTGGAATCCTCTCTGACGGAGACCGAGTGTCGCTACAACAAATACCTGGCTGAGCTGCAGACCCAGATCTCCTGCGTGGAGCAGCGGCTGGCTGAGATCCGAGCGGAAATGGAGTGCCAGAACCAGGAATACAAGACCCTCCTGGACGTCAAGTGCCGCTTGGAGCAGGAGATCCAGACCTACCACTGCCTGCTGGAGGGCGGCCAGCACGACATCATGTACGCAGACAGAGCCAGGCACCCCAAAATCCCTGTGCTTTGCCTTACAGGGGCATGAACGTTCCTTATACCAGTGGTAAAAGCAACACTGTGGTGAGGAACCGGTGCTGACCTGTTACCAGACAGGGCCTATTAGCAAACTGTGAGGCACCTGAGGATTTGGCTCTGATAAATGTCCAGGGTGCATGTCAGAGACCATTCTGGGGCCAGGGAGGGGGGGGGCCAGGAGAGCCCCCAGAGCTGTCCCAGCCCCTGGCACGGTGCAGCAGCTCTTTAAGGGCAGCTTTGCTGGCAGCTGGGCAAGGTCTCTGACAAACACTGTCACATTAACTGAGTTTTATTGGCTTTGCCAGAATGAGGCAGGGTTAGGGACTGGCAGCTAAATTAACTGAAACAATAAATTATCTAAACATTTTCAGCTTCACACAACAATTTTAATTAAAGTTTTGGGAATTTAATTTGTATGCAAAGCAGCTGTCTCTGCTCTGCCTCCCATTGACTGAGGTTTTTAAACAGCCAGGCTGTTAATCCCAGACATGGCTGCACACACACAACACCAGCCTGGGCACCCACCTGCTCCATTTGTTTGGAAAAGGAGGCACTGGAATGGTGGAGCCCTGAGAACTCTCCAGTCCTAAATTAGTTACACGACAAATCAGTTTTTGTTCCAAAATGTCAGTTGCAGTGGACGAAGGGACACTGTTAGTTTTTGTCTTGGAGCCTGGGGTAATCCTGGGATGGAAAAGCAAAGGCAGCCAAGAGGCAGGAGGGAGGGAGTGGGAGAACGGTGGCCAATGACCCTCGGGGTTCGGAGGGGAAATGGCAGCACTGACCGAAGAGACAGAGCTACAGCCAGTGCACAGGTCAGGGGAGATCTCCAGGGTGGCAGTGCCAAGGGCCTGGGTCTCCAGAGCTGTCTCCTTTCCACAGAGGGCCAGCAGGAAGAGGAGTCGCTGCCACATCAGCTGGGAGGAGCGGGGGGCTGAAAGCCACTCTGTGCCAGCCCTGCCTGCCCTGAGCCCGGCACAGGAGAGGGTCTGCCAGGTGAGGGGTCCTCCAGGAGCTGGGGAGTGGGACCATGAGCTGCCCCTTCAGTGCTGGGAACCTGGGGAAGAGGAGGATGAGAGGCCTCCAGGGCTTTTCTGGGTGAAGAGGGGTTGGAGGTGGTGTCTTTTCCCTGGAAAGAGGCTGGGTCGGAGCCTGTGGCCATTGGTGGTGGAGCACTGGGATTAACTGGGCTATGGTGGGAAGCAGTGGTAAGGAATGGTGGGAAGCAGTGGCAAGGGATGCAGCTGTGGGACATTTATACACCTCTGTAGAAATTAGGTTTGACACTGGGGAGTGCCCAGCAGTAAAGCTGTGGTTAAATAAGACTTCCAGCACAACATGGGAATGAGGAACTGGAAGGGGAATCAGTCAGTCACAGCTCTTTGAGAAGGTATAAAATCAAGCAGAGCTGGGGAGAAGAGGGAAGAGGAAGGTCAGTACAAGAGCAAGGGTGTGTAAGAGAAAGGCACATATGCAGAACCCCCTGAAAAAGTGATGCTTCCTGCTCTCCCTCAGGTCACTGCAGACCAGAGAGTCCCTCAGCCCCACTGCACATCCCTGAGGAGCTGTGAAGAACAAGCCATTTGGAAGAACAAGGCAAGAATAACCTGGGTGTTCTCAGTTGTGCTCCAGCAGCAGCCGAAGGGACTCCATGGGAGCCACTGACCCCAGCACTGCCCCTCACTCGGGCTCCCCAGGGCTGTGCTGGTTGTCTGACAGCAACCAAGGCTTGTCTCCAATAAAACTTTGCTCCTACTAACACAGCCTCCAACCTGGGAAATAATTTCTACAAGTAAATTAATATACAAGTATTTAAAAAAAATAGTTATGCAGACACTGATATTCACGGCACAGCTTTGGTTGGAATCCACCCTCGCTCTCCATCCACACACCCGTCACTGCAGGGAGAGAGGAAAACAAACTGTGTCCCCATCAGTGCTCCTGCTGAACTCAGAGGCTGAGGAGGGGATGGAGGGTGGAGGAGAGGGACCAGCCCGTGCTGTGGAAAGGGATATTTGCTACCAGAGGAGGAGGCATTTGCTAAGACATGAGGTAGAAGGTGATGTGGAAAGAAACATGGAGGGAGGCTGGGCAGAGGGCAGGGAGGGACTCTCAGGCTGTCTGACTGTCTTCTACTGAGAGACCTCTGAGAGAAAAAGGAGTCCTCATTAAAGTGGGTGTGTGCTAATATAATAAAATATAATATAATATCACATAATATAATGTAGCACACAACACCTATGACTTATTATGGATGTGCACTAGCAGGATAAAATCAAGAATAACAAGTTTTCCCAAATAATTGGAGCAGGAATTTTGAAAAGCAGGAATTTTGAAAGCCAGGCTCTGCTGGACTGTCCACGCCCTTCTGGTGGAGGCAAACAATTCCCAGAGAAAACACTAAACAAAGAACCTCTAAATGGATTTGTAAAAAAGGCAAACAGGAAGAACCAGCTGGCAACATGTGGGAAGATAAAAGGGTGAGACAAATTAATATGTGGGAGAGAAGTTTTTTAAAAGTGAGACACAATAAACAGCCAGGAAAAAAAAAGCTGCTGCTGTTTTATTACCCCAGTGAAAGGAATGACAAACACATCCAGGAACACGACTGCATTTTGCTGCGTGTGCAAGCCAAGGCTCAGGATGCAGCCTGTCCCTCCTCACTGGCAGCAGTGTCTGAGAGATGGGTCAGTAGGGCTGGGAGTGGTGTCACAGCCCTCACCCCTCATTGTGTGGCTCTGAAAGCCCTTTTCTCTCATGAAATATTGGATGGGGTTTGATGACTAACCTTAGACAGAATCCTGAAATGGAGGATCCTAACAAGGCGGCTTTGGGGGACACAATGAGTCCAAATTAGTGCCCATTTCTAAAGAGAGAAACAGCTCAGACAGTTCTGGAACTGCCTCTCCCTGAGCTCTGTCCAGGACACTCGTTAGCCCTGTGGGGTAATTGCTCTAACGAGCTCCTGGCCAAGCTCTGTGCTACTTTCCCTGCTCGGTTCTGCATCCCCACTCCCGCAGCACTAATTACACTGTGCATCTGGGGGCCATCTAACCCCCCTCGGTGCTGACACAGCACCTCTGAGGTCACCACACACTGCCCTCCCTGCCCAGGGCTCACAGCCTGGGCAGCCCTGGGAAATGATGGAGGCTGTGGAGGCTGCACAGGAGGAGGCAGAGAAGGGAAGTTACATGAAATGCAGAGGGCACAGTGCAAGAGACAACAGGACAAGAGTGACCAGGGACAGGGACTGCAGGCAAATATCTGCTGTGTCCTCACACAGCTCTCGGGTCGTGCAGCTCGTGGCAGCTCAATCTGTCTCTTGTAACGTGCAAATCTTGTAAAGCAAGAACCAACGGATATCTCAGAGACAGAGAGAGACTTGGGCTGAAGGTACAGGACTGGGAGAAGAACCAAGGATAAAGACAGCAAGGGTGGGTGCCCAGGGAGAGGAGGGGGTGGTATCAGCACTCAGGCTGGTAAGCAGAAGATGAAATGCGCTGTGACTGCTGCAGCAGATGTGTCTGTGTGCTACAGAGAGCACGTGGGAATTACACCACCACCAGGAAAAATCCCCAAGGAGTGAACACACCAGAGGTTTAAGGGATCAGTGAAGAAACAGAAAGAAAACAACTAATTTTGCAAATTGCCAATGCTGGAAATCAGCCACGAGTTCCGGATGGCACAGCACAGCCAATTATCCCTGATTACAGGCACGGTGTGTTTGGAAAGGCAGGCCATGTTCTGCTGTGATGTATAAACTGTAATTTCTCTACAAAAGTGTACTTCATGCAGCAGGCAGACAGGTACAGTCTCACTCACACCCACAGTAACTATCTGTGGGGTTTAGATTTTTGTTTACTGGCTTGTGCAACATTTGTAAAGAACTACAGAGATGAGCAGACTCCTGCTGTAACCCAACAGATTTCTCAGCTCAGTGCACTGAATAACATAATCTAAACTGCCAGTATGAGCCACAAATTTAAAGTGCATTGAAATTAAGAGACTTTAGTAGGATATAAAGCTAAAAGAAGACACTGTGGGGAGACTCTGGCTGCTCTGCCCCTTTGCCTGCCCAGCTCTGTCGCACCTCTGATGGTGTCTGAGCACAGGAAGCACCTGAACACAACAGGTTGTCAGGTTCTGGTCTGACCCTGTGGCTCAGCCTCGGTTTCCCTCCCATCCTGCACCATGCTCAGCTCCCCATGAGGGACTGGAATTGCTGCAGTTTCATCACCCATCACTATTCCCATCTATCCTAACGAATTCTCCAGGACTCTCCTCTGCTGTGATAACCTCCAGAGGTGCACAGTCCGGAGGCCTGGCTGCACTGTCAGTGTCTGGCAGGCGCTGGAAGGAACCAACAGCCCTCACAAAGCGAATCAGGGGGGACTGTGAGCTTCAGTAGGAAGAAACTCAGCTGTGTCCATGTCCTGCTGAGCTCCTACTTCACACTGCAGATGCTCAGAGCCTGCAAATGTGAACAGTCAGCAAGAAACTGAAGCAGAGTCACCCCCTCGGTCTCGGAGGTGTATTTAAGCCCGGGCTGTTACCAAACCCACTGTGGTAATTATTTCACTTGCCTTACAGGATTTGGCTAAACATGGTGGTACAAAACAGTGAGTCACTAGCCAGGAAAAAGTCGTGGTCTGCATTTGAAAGATGAGAGCATGAGGCCTGGAGCTGGCTCAGTATCACATCAAAGAAGTGTTTAATAAGTGATGCCTAATGGCCATTATGCAAATGATTAATGGTAATTACAAGTGACAAGATAAAATCATATTCCAGTGTGGTTGCACAAACATCACTGAGGCAATGCTTATGAAAGCAAAGTTCTGTAGAACCAGACACACCTTTCTTGTAGTTGACACAGGAGAGCATTATCAGCTTTGATAAGCAAAGCCAGGCGAGCGTGTGGAGCCGGGCTGGGCACAGGGACCAGCATCCCGTGGGAATGTGACATCCTGCTGCCTCCCCCATCCCTGTGCACCAGTAATGACCTTTATCACCTCTTCCTCCACTTTCACTGTCTCACCCATCAGGCCCAGAGAACTCACCTTGTTGGCACTGACATTGTGTGTGACCCCTGCTCATCGTCCTGGCCCACAGCCTGTCGTGGATTCCTGAACTTCCAGCTGCATGAAGCCATTTGTTTCCTCCTGCCTTACACTGAGGTTGTAAATCCTTTTTGGACACGTTCGTGTCTTAGAATTGCACAGTCCTTTCCCAGCATTCTGCCCCAAGGCTGTGTCCCAAGGCTACAGGATTACAAATAAAAACAAAAGTGGAGGTAAAGAAATCAGTGTAATGGGGGAAGAAGCCAGTACTGAGGGATGTTTTGGAACAAGGAGTGGCTCCCAGCTAGAGAAAGCAGAACCACAGAGCCAGTGAGCTCCACACAGCCTCTGTCTGGCCTCGGTGCTGAGCCTCGAGCCCCAACACAGTCATAAGGAGTGGGACAACACCACAGTGTGTTTTTAAGATACAGCCAGGTTAGTCAGGGACTGGCTTCTGGGTGCACCGGCTGTACCAGACACATCACATATCCCAGTGAAACCAGCAGGAGCCCAGAGAAGCTCCAAAGAATGCAACTGCCTCCCAATTATGAGTACTTTGGCAGAACTGTATGGTCGTGTCTAACCTTCCCTGGTGAAATGGGATTTGGGAGCCTGTGGACCTTTTCACTAGGACACGAATGAAAGGTTGTACAATGGTGCAAACTAATTTGTTTTGTGGAGCAAGACCTGTTCCTTCTTCCTGTCAGGGAGCTGCTGAAGGAGAGGGGGGGAGGTGCTCCATGTCCACCCTTAGAGAAATGTCCACCATCCTCCTAAAGCCAAGAGTCTGCAAGGGAAAGAAAGGCACCCCCAGCCCCATGTCTGCTCTTGGGTAACTCCTGAAAACCTCCCCAGCAGAAGCGAAGCTCCAAGCAAGCATTACATTAATTTCTGTTGGCTCCAACAGCCACACCCTGTCTTCAATTATATTCCTCAAAACGACGGATGAAAGCCAGATTTGCTCCCTCTCCTCCTTTTCACTCATGATTTTCCCGACTGCGAGTCTGGGCTCTGTGGGGAGCACGGGGGCTGTGTCTAGGGGGAGGATGGACTCGTATTTCAGGCACTGCAGTCTCAGTGAGGAATCTGAGCTCTGACAGACCCGGCTCAGTCCTCGAGCAAGTTATTTCCCTGCAGCATATGAATAATAATATTCCTGGATACTGCCAGCCTTGGTAGGCGGCTTTTTATCATTTCGGATCTAAGTAAAGAAATAAATTACTCCACCGGAGAGTGGAGAGCCTTAACTCATGCTGGTGTGAAGACAATCACAGCTAAACATGCTTGGGGTCACTCTCATACCATGGTGGCAGAAGCCACCAACTTCCCACCAGCCCATGAGGTGTCTGAGGGTACCAGCATGGGTTTTCTCTGCCTTTCCTCCCAGAGATGACGCTGCTCTTGGGGCTCCCTGAGTGTCACCTCACTGCCAACGAGGATCTATCACAACTGCTCCTGTAAATACCCAAACATCCTTGAGTCAAAGGTGGCTTGTGAGTAAGAGTCGCATGGAAATTCCACCCTGTAGGGGACAGAAGCCGTCGTCCCCTGGAGAGCAGAATATCCTCTCATTACAGAGTCTGCTGGAGAAGGACACTGGCACTGGTGGAGCCAGTTCTCTGAAGGCTCCCCTGGCTGCCCC